TATTTAGGATCTTTGGATCTGTATTGATAAGTGCAATAGGTTCGTGGGGTTTTTCCTGCTTTGTCAACGTTCAGTTGTCCCTTGTGAGACCTGATATTTTTCAGTTTGGCACATGACCACACAGAATACTGTTTATTTCTTGCTTCTCTGCAGCTATCTGCGGCCATGTAAGTTTCTGATTATAAGATCTAGGCAGAAGTGTCCTATATGGTTTTAGAAGCCATCCTCAATGGAGCTGGCACCTGGCCTTTGCCTTTGCCCACCGTCCTGCTTGCTGGCATACAGGCGTAAGGCCTGGAGCTAGCTGTTACTGTCTTCCAAGGTGAAGACGAGGTGGCACGTGTGAACCAGAAGTAGCCTGGATCGTGAGGCCATCGTGGCTCTGTGCTGATGTGCGGACTCTGGACTCCCTACCCTGGACGTGTACGTGAGTCTTGTTTAAGTTACTCCAACCGTGGGACCGCCTCACTCACCTGATAGGTCAGATTTTGATATTAGGGTTACACTCACTTCATACAATAAACTGGGAGGTTTTCAACTTTCCCTATAGCCTGCAGTTGTTTATTTTTTTATTTTTTTTTTAATTTTTATTTATGTATGATAGTCACACAGAGAGAGAGAGAGAGGCAGAGACACAGGCAGAGGGAGAAGCAGGCTCCATGCACCGGGAGCCCGACGTGGGATTCGATCCCGGGTCTCCAGGATCGCGCCCTGGGCCGAAGGCAGGCGCCAAACCGCTGCAGCACCCAGGGATCCCCTTGCAGTTGTTTAAATAGCGGAACTATTTGACCCTTGAAGCTGTTATAGAAGCCGTCCAACTGGGCAGCCCGGGTGGCTCAGCGGTTTGGTGCCTCTTTCGGCCCAGGACATGGGATCGAGTCCAACGTCGGGCTCCCTGCATGGAGCCTCCTTCTCCCTCTGCCTGTGTCTCTGCCTCTCTCTCTCTCTGTCATGAATAAATAAAATCTTTATTTTTTAAAGATTTTGTTTATGAGATACACACGGAGAGACAGAGAGTTCTCTATGGGGGGGGGTGTTTCGTTTGTTCTATTAAAGACGTGCCAATTGAATCAGTCTTTTCAAAGTACCAACTCATGGACTTATTAATAAGTTTCCCAATCGTTTGGCTTTCATATCAGTTAATTCCTGCTTTTGTTGTTATTCTCAGGTTGCTCTTGCTTTTCTAGACTTTTGAGTACCTAACTCATTAGTTTTCATTCTCTCCAGTATAATAATGAAAACACACAAGGCTATGAATTATCCTCTGGCTGCAGCACTGGCCAGAGCGCAAAGCTCTTTGCCATATGGTATATTTATTTTCAATAAATTTTAAAAGTTCTGCAAATGAAGCTTTGGGTTCCTTTTTGAAGGATATTACACATTTACAAGTAGTTATACTGAATTGGATTTTCCCTTTGGTATGAACTTCTCATTTGATTTTAATATGATAGACTATACGCCTTGGGCAATTTCTACTTTTTAAATTTTATTGAGATTATCTTTCTTTTTTGGAAGAATATATAACTGATTTTTGCAAATTTTCCATGGATTCAAAAAATACATGTGTTTTCTGTAAGATATAAAGAAAGATGGCGGTAAACACTTTAGGAAGTAAATGCTCATCTCTTAAACACATATTTTTGTGTATTGGGTTTTAAATTTTGGTTTTAATACATACTACTTCAAAACCAAAATCTGAAACAGGAAAGCTGTGCCATTCTGTCACTTAAGACCCAAAGGTGATGGTTTTGAAGCTCTAGCCTTTGTCCCCTAGATGGGCGACCCCCAAGAAAGGAGGTAACCATATCACACTTCCCAGAGCCCTCACCGAACAAACCCATCACTGGGGGAAATGACAGTTGATATTGATTATAGGCAAACCAAACATTTTGGTGTTTTTTACCCCCTGGTCTTGATCAAGCAGGTGCTCCCCTAAATCCGACAAGGGTCTTACAGACACAGGCACAAATTATACCTTTGTACTTCTCTAACTTCTTAAAACCTAGAGTATGTGTCTTATATGTGACCTGCAAGGTTTCAGAGGGACTGGCTCGGTTTGGATATGAAAAACCTCACAGCACTTAGAATCCTGTCTACCCTGACGGGGGTGCAAGGTGTCCCCATTTTACCGGTGACATTCACAGGAAAGCATAGTAGGGCATCAGGGGTCCTCACCGAGTTTTCATTCTGTTTTGCCTTTACTCCATCACTCGACTGCATTTTGTGTTAAGTGTAGTTGGATCAGCTTGGGTCTCCAAATTGGGTGGCCTTAGGTTTCTTAGTAAAGTCACATTCTCTGAATATCCCAGCCCCTCTGACAGTCTCGAATATAAACAAGCTTTTGGTGGTCAGAGTGGAGAAGACACTGACCCAGGAGACTTATTCTCACCTCCACCCCTTAGACCTCCGTGCATAACTTTTTTCACACCCGCGGGTCCAGTTTTGACTTCTTTGGGGTTACAGAATTGTTTATACACAGAGCAATTTCCCGAGCAGCTGATCTGCTTTGCGACTTCCCACCTCCACTCGTATCCATTAGCTTGGAGAAGCCTTACCGTGGAAAGGGATTTCTTCACAGAAAATGGCTCTCCGACCTCTGACACTCAGCGGGAAGGATGAAGTGGCTCTGACGGCAACGGTCCATGAAGAAGAATGCATGGCTGCCCCCGGGAACAAGAGCACCTGCACCTTCGGCAATGGCTCTCCACTCTAATGCTCTCTAGTGTGGGAAGTTGGGGCTGTTTGGGGGGATGTGGGCCAGGAGATGGGCAGAGCGAGGCAGCTTGGGCAGGTCCCAGCCCCTCTGTGCCTCAGCTTGCTTAGCTGTGAAAGGGGGATAACCCCCCGCCCCTCGGAAGGCTGTTGTGAGGTCATTACTAAAGGACATCATAGTGGTCGGGAGTGGTCTAGAACTCTCTGATATTTTCACTTCCCATAAAGGAAATCAGGATTAGAATGTGATTTACCTTGGACTTTTGGGCCTTTCATCACATCTCATCCCTAAGCTGCATCCAGCTGCAAACGATTTCCTGTCTCCTGCTCTCATCTTGCTTTAATTCACTTCGCCAAAACCGAGGCAATCACTGTGAACAAAGGTCAGCAGAGCCCTCGGCTCCTCCAGCAGATACGGTGGCCTGGCCCACGCGTGATGGGGAACAGGAGGAAACAGGAGGAAAAGCATGTCGTTGACACGGTAAGAGAAGCCCAAATGAAGCGAGGCGACGGTGGCCTGGGCTTCGGGGCCAGTGAAACCTGGACCAGGTGAGGCGAGCCCCGCCGGACGGCGGGCAGGTGTGCGGAAACCCGGACAGATACCTTCCATCGGCGACAGCCGGTTCAGGAGAAGGGGGCAGCGGCTCCCTCCTCGTGGGACTCCCGGTTACGGGGTGCAGCACCAGAGCAGAGTAAGGAGCCCTCGCTCTCCCTGCCCCCGGAGCCGGGCTGGTGTCTCCTAACAGGCGGCACCTCGGAGCGCCAGGGCTGCGGCCCCCGGGCAGGGCATCGTGCGGCCCGTCCCTCCCCGAGCACGGCCCGCGAGCCCGGCGCAGCTGTCCCCGGCCAACGGGGGACCGAGGGGGAGGTACCTGCCTCTGGGGACACCGGGAACTTGCGTCTGCGTAACTGCCTGACTAGGAAGAGTGAAAACCTGCCCATCTTCTGGCCTCTCAGGTCAGGAATTCCGGGTAGGGCTGGGTCCAGCGGGGTCCTGCGGCCGCTGCACAGGTGGCAGCGGTGGCTGCAGGGAGCGCCAGGCCACACTGCCCTGGCGCGGGCCCAGCGGGCCCCAGCCAGGTCCTGGACCTGAGTGTCTCCAGGTCGCCTCTCGGCTCAGAGGAGGTCATGGAGGTGGGCGCAGTACTCCCGTCCTTCGGGCACGTGTCAGGCTCTGGGAGCCACTAGGCCCTGGCCAGGGCTCCTGCCCTGCTCATGAGCTCTGGGGGCCCTGGGCTGCCAAGGGCCCAGCAGTCGGTGCCCTGGAGACACGTCTCTCCCTCTCTCCTGCGGTGACACGGGGTCGGGAGGTGAGCCTTCCGCCGACACATTTGGGGGTGGGTGTCCCCCTTCTCTGCCCTCCCCGACGGCGTCGAGCTCCGGCACAGGCTGGGCCGGGTCGCAGGCCTGTTCCTGCCCGGCTGTGGGAAGGGGCCCGGGTCCTGGTCACACGACCGCACCCAGCAGCAAAGGAGTCGGAAGGAAGACCCCAGCCAGCGGCCACGCTTCACGGCAGCCTTGGTCCAGACAAGTAAGGGGGCACCCGAAAGGGGCCGTGGGATCCCAGATTGCAGCCATCTGCCGCAGCCCAAACCTCTGCCTGCGCGTGGAGGTAATCCTATCCCCCAAAGTCTTAGGAGAATTCGGGCCCGGGGATCCGGAATCAGAGGCTCCAGTGATGGAGGCAGAAGCGTCGCCAGGGCTCCACCTCCCACCAGCCACCGACGCCGACTGGAGAATTCAGGCACAAGTGCGTTGGCTCTGTCACGTCTTATTTCTGATTTACCTCTTAGGTGGCTGAGAACGGAACCAGGCCCCATTTCTGGGGAGCTCTGCCGGCCACAAGGTGTTCCTGCCTATATGGGCATTTCCCAAACAATACACTGTTAGGGACTCACGGTACAGACTCCCCCGCTTCCCCTCCTTCCCCCACCCGTCCCCTCCCCTCCCTCCCCCTGCCCCCCCCTCCTCTCCCCCCCTCCCCTCTCCTCCCCCTGCTCTAATGGGAGGATCTGACACCCCGGGCCTCCACAGTGGACACCCCACCTCCGGCCAGGCAGGGCAGCCCGGGCTCTCCCTCCTTCCTAACGGGTGGGAGGTGTTCCTTCCCTGGAAGGAAATGGCCAGCCTGGGGCCCTTGTCGGCGCCGCTCAGGATCGAATGAAATGAAAATGAAGGCAGCCCGGCTGCTGGCAGGTCCTCGGTTATTCCCGCAGAAGAGCCCTCGTCGTATTTATATCCACAAAAGCAGTTTACTGAAGAAATTATACAGCAGTAGACATCCCAAACCTTTTCTCAAAATTCTCATTTAGGTGGTGTTTTTTATTTCATTAAAAATGATTCCTACCTTTGAAATCTCCCAGAAAAGTACGGCCTCTTTGGTTCCCGACGTCTAAACACGTCATCAAAGACAGATCATTATTAATGTCATGTGAACCTAAGAGGAGGTTCCTAAGCCAGAAATGTAGTCTCCGGGAACCAAACTGGAAACGACTCGGTGAATAAGCTGTATCGGTCCCAGGGGCGAGGCCCCGGGATAGAGCCGTGCCCGAGTCGGTCTGTTGGCTGGGGGCGGCACACGTCACCGGGCGCTGTCCCAGGATGGTGGCGGCCCAGCGGGGCCAGGGGGCGCCTGGCTCGGGCCCGCCCAGGCGCAGGGGCTGTCAGGGAAGGCGGGGCCGCCAGAGCCGACGCCTCGTTAGCTGTGGCCCCGCAGAAACGGCTGCGCAGGCTCCGCATCCACTGAACCACAGGGCTTCACCTGACACTCGGCGCCCGGGGCCGGGGCGCAGGCCCAGTGCAGCAGGTCCGGGCATCCTCCCGGCACCACCCGGTGCGGGCGGGCCTCCACCTCCTGCCCGGCCCCGCCGCCCGCCATGCAGGCCATGCAACGACGACAGGTGCGGACGGCCGCTGGGTCCTCCTGTGACAGCAGGGACGCCGTGTTCCCGTTCCTCCGAGTTCTGAAGTCATCATGAAGCGTGTTGTAAAAGGACGACGGACCAGAGCGGAAAAAATGCCCCAGGGCTCCAGCGGCTGCGCTCTGCGGCCATCGCTCTGCGGCCGTCGGTGGGACCTGCCAACACCGTTTGCGGCCCGGAGGCCGCTGTGCTGCCGCGGGCTCGGCCACCTCGGGCGGCGAGGGTTCCCTGTCGCCCCCAGGACCCCGCTGCCCGGCCAAGCTCCCGCGGCCGTTCCAGTTCCACTGCTCCCTGAAACGGCCCGGGGGGTCGGAGGCAGGGACTTCTGCTGGCCGCGGCACGATCTGGCCAAAAACGGTTGACAAGTCCTGCGGAACTTTACAGGAAAGGTCTGACGAGAGGAGCCCCCTGGACGCAGACGCCTCAAGGAAACGAGGGACAGCAGTGGCCGTAATCTGAGGGGTCGGGTTCGTTTCTGATACAGAATCCTCAGGAACACGAGCCGCGCGGCCGGCTCCGCGGCTGCGGCTCCCGCGGCCTCCCCGCCCGCGCTACGTCCTGCAGAGCTTCAGCGGGAAGTTCTCCGTGATGAGGTGATCCGCGTGGAGCAGCACGACGACGTTCACCTCAAATTCTGGGAAGAGAAAGAAGGGGCTTGGTGCTCACCGGGCCCCGCGGCAGGAACCACAGGCCAACCGCGCTGCAGGCTCGTTGGGAGGGGGGCAGCCGGGTGCCCTGGGGGCTCTGTACCCGCGTCCCACGGACGCACGTCGCCCCGAGCCTCCAGGAGAAGCGGCCACGGCGGCTGCACGGCCTCTGCCCGCCTCTGGCGCACTTGCCCCACGTCAGTGTCCCTTCGCCCTGGGACGCTGTCCGCTTCCCAAGCACACTGCCCTCGTCCTCGGTCTTTACCAGAGGGAACCTGCCATAGTCCTTGCTGTTCACTCATACTCGTGCTCATTTGTACACTCCTGACAGTTCTTTTTTTTTTTTATAGAGTTTTTTTTTTAATTTTTTTTATTTATTTATGATAGTCACAGAGAGAGAGAGAGAGAGAGAGAGAGAGAGAGAGGCAGAGACACAGGCAGAGGGAGAAGCAGGCTCCATGCACCAGGAGCCCGACGTGGGATTCGATCCCGGGTCTCCAGGATCGCGCCCTGGGCCAAAGGCAGGCGCCAAACCGCTGCGCCACCCAGGGATCCCCGACTCCTGACAGTTCTTAATGGGAGAGAGCACGTGCAGACGGCCCAGCTGCCGGCGCAGGTCTCCCAGCCAACAGAGACCGTGTCCAGCGACAGCGCGCAGCCTAACTGCTGTTCTTGGGGAGAGGGGCGGTGAACCCACCTGAGGCACCTGTTTAAAGAGCCATCTCTTGCTGCCAAGAGAGCAGGGAGCTTCGTGCCAAAGGCAGGAGGCCGAGCACCGAGCAGCTCGGCCCCACGGAAGGGGCTCTGCAGTTGCCTCGTCTGAGGCCCCAGGCTGGAGTCCCAAGGATGACGTCCCTGTTGTGGGGCTGGTGGCCTTCGCCACGCATCAGCCACAACAGGAGCTGGGCGCCAGCAGCACGTCCCACTTCTGTGCTCAAGTTCCGCCCAGGCGCCCTGCACGCGGAGTGGGTTCCCGCTGAAGGCCGGGTGGTCAGCCCAGCAAAGGTGAAGGCCGACACTGGGCGTCGGGCCCGAAGGGCCTCGCTGCCACCCCGGCTGAGGGGCGGGCGGCCAGATTCTGGGGAAGGATCCCAGGGCACACGTGAACGTTACAGGGATGCCTCCTAAATCTGACAGACATAGCAGGCAAAAATTTAGGTGCTTCGAGTACAGCAGGGGGAGAAAGAAGTTTAGGCCTCTTCAAGTTTACGGGAGGAACTAAGTGAGGACTGAACAGATGAGCTCGACCCTCTAGCTTGGACTCGGAGTACTCTGACCTAGACACCTTGGCAGCGTGCCTCCGGGAGGGTACGAGGCAGGATGGGCAGGGGCGCTGGGCTGGGGGTCTGGGGGTGCCGAGGGCACTCACCCTGCGCCCCGCTCCCAGTGCCACAGGCTTATACCACCTGTTCCACAATAACCACGCTCGCAGGTCCTGAGGGAAGTCCTGGCAGCCTAGCCGGGGCCACACCTGAGCCCGGGCTGTCTTACGGCAGGTGGCCGGCCTGGCCGGTATTCGACAAACAGCTGAGTCTGTGACCCTCTCTGCTCTGGACGCAGTGTCCCGACCCCTTCTGTGCTCGCTAGGCCACCACACTGCCGACAAAAGCCCTCGAGGGGCTCCCCAGATATTAATCCTGGGCAGTGACCACGACATCCCAAGCTGGGGGTGCAGAGGCCTCCGCGATGATGAAGGCTAATGCTGGGCTGTCACAGGCAGGTCCCTGCTCAGACGCCACCTGTCAGAGGAGCCTCCCTGGCCTCCACATGCTCCCTGCTGGCGTCCCTCCTGCACCTGCCATCCCCGCCTGGGGCCCACACCCATGGGTGCACCGTGGGGGCTAACCAGCCTGTGCGGGGGACTCGGGCAGGCCCCCGGGGTGGGGAGCTGGTGCACTTACCCACTTTGAAGTTGGTGGTCTCCAGCGTGGGGCAGGTGAACAGCCGCGGGAAGACCATGTGGATGGGGACCGAGAGGCCCCGACAAACATCGCCGTCGGCGATCTGGATGTTCTGGATCTCCGTGGCGTCTCGGGCGTATCCTTCGGCGCACCCTGCGGGGAGGGCACCGCGCGGTCAGAAACAAGCAATCCACCGACCCTTGGGGACTCCGCGAGCCTGGGTCCGCACACTCAGCGCCCCTGCCATTGGCTCTGCAGGACCTGGAGTCCACCCCGCCCCCGCCCCAGGTCTCACTTTCTCAAACACACAGTTCTCGTAAGGGCGGGGGGGGGGGGGCTCTCACTTCCGCTTCCACCCACGGGTCAGCTGCTGGGCAGAGGGCAACCGGGGCGGGAGGCCCTTACCGCAGGTCTCCACGCGGACCAGCTGCAGCTCTATGCTCTTGATGGCGGCCTCCGAGCTCTCGACCACCAGCTCCCCTGTCAGCGGCTGCGTGATGACGCAGTTGGTAGAGTTGAGATGTCCCCGGATGAGGAATTTGGGGAGCAAGGCTCTCTGGAACACAACAGAAAACATAGGGATGGAGGGCCAAGGGAAATTGTTCCACAGTCAGTCACTTGGTGCAAATAAAAACTGAAAACGGAGTTGGACCATTTCTATAAAACCTGCTGGGACCCTGTTTTACAAAATGGGAGGCCCTGTTTTACTTCCTTCTTCTGTCAAGGTCATTAACAGGCTGAATTATTCAACAACGGCCTGCAGCCACCGGGCGGCCAACACCGCCTGGACAGAACGGCCAGCAACCAGGGTCGGCCGATCCTTGGTCAGGTCTGGAACGCTCCTTCTCGCCAAGCAACACGACGTAACAACACCTGAGGAAGTTGCCAGGACTGTTTACGGGGAACCAGTCACGCTCCCCAAAAAGGTTTTAAAAGGAGAATCAACTGAAAATGCTCCCAATTACACAACTTTGAAAAGCCAAGGTACTTGTTTCATTTCAAGGACACATGAAGAGAACAGTTTTCATCAATGTTTGACTAAATAAAATCTCCTGGACCTTTTCCCTGTAGTCGTAGGAACCTGGTCACGGGTGGATGACGCTGTGTTTGTGGGAAGAGGATCGGAAGAGTCAGAGGCAACGGTTCTAGCAGCTTCGCCTCACTGGTCCCGGGTTCTAGAGCTAAGTCGGAGTTTAGAACACCACGTCTCACAGAAACAGAAATGCAGCTGCAAACGTGAGCCACGTATGTAACTTACAATTTTCTAGTAGCTCTATGTTAAAAAGTAAAAGGAAACAGCTAAAATCAACCAATATGCCCTAAATATCACTTCCACATATCATCAATATTAAAAAATGACGTTCATAGTGTCTTTCTCTTTGAAATCCAGCCAGCACCTCACCCCTGCAGCCCAGCGCCGACCAGCCCCCTGCAGGGCTGGTGGTCACTGGCTGGAGCTCACAGGGCACGCGGCACAGCGCAGGAAGCCGACAGCCCCGGAGGTGCAGAGCTCGAGGAGAGTCTTGATTCCAAACTCTAGAAACAACTACAAGTAAAGAAACTATTTGTTTAGTAAAATAAAAAGCAGCAGCAATCTATGTTAAAATTCTTTCAGGCAACTGATGGAAAAGAAAAGGTCTCAAAATCCAGCCTAAGATCCTGACTGACCATTCGTTTTACCCTCTCTTCCGAGGGGGCACGGTGTTAACATACACAAACGACCCCGAGAAAGGCTATGCGGAGCGCCACGTGGACACAACCCCAGTGACGTGTTTCTGTGCCTGGAAGTGCCCAGTGAGGCTCCTGAGAGCTCAGGGGGCCGTGTCCTGAGGTTGGCGGCAAGAGCTCTGCACGTGAGCGTCCCCTGGGCAGCCCTGAGATCAGAGGCGGTGCCCACCCAGGAAGGGAGTAGTTGGTGGTGCCCATGAGTGGTCTCTGGAGTCAGCACATGCCCAGGCTGGCACCACAGCTTCCCTCGAGGGGGACTTCCCACCCAGCACGCTCCCAGAGCAGGCCGGGCGAGGCAGGGCAATGCTCCTAGTCATTTACAGCCACCATGCAGGACAACGAGGCTCTCGCCCCAGAAGACAAGCTACCTGTGCACCCTAACAGAGAGCCCACAGGGCCGGAGGCCTTTTCCCCAGCAGCTCCTCTGTTGGAGTGCACGTTTACAACCAGAAGGACAGACTGTCATTTGGGTTGAGGACAATCTCGTTAACAAGGCCGCATGTATTTGATCCTCATCTATGAATATAAGCTGACATCCAAGAATCAACAAACCTTTGAGGAAAATAAAAGCAAAAAAAAAGAGTCACACATTCAGCAAACAGAATGACCAACCACTAGGAAACGGAGGGGAAGGGCCGTGCACCTGCAGTAGAAGAAGGGGCTATCTTGGAAAAGAAATGGGCTTGGAGATGAATCACACTGCTGCGGAGGCAAACATGTCAGCAGTCGGGCTACAAACCAACCGAAGAGCAAATGAGTGAGCTGAAAGACTGCGCCCAGACTCTCCCATGACACATCCAAGAGAAGTTCACAGAGCTGAAGGAAAGGCGGCCGGCAGACTGACTAATTAAACACCAAGATCCAACAAAGGCTTTGGAATTCCAGAATACTAAGGATGGGGAGAAGCTGGATGTTCTCGGGGCTGGGGGGAAGGGAGAGGGAGGAGAACAGATGAGCTCACACGAATTTGGGGACCAGATCATCAGTATCACCAGGCACGAGAAAACCAGGGTGCTACTCTCCAAGTTTAAGGGCAAATGAAGTTGAAGCCAGAAGCTTCCATCTACCAAGACAATAGAGGTCAGTGTGAGAGCAAAGTCAGGTGTCTGACCTCCATTCAAGGATGTAAGTCCACTCCTACCCTTTCTGAAAGAACAGCACTAGGATGTACTCCAGCAGCACAAAAAATACACTGAAGAAAGAAAAGGCTGAGAGGAAGCAGTGGTGAGCAAGGACATGGTGAAACTTCCAGTAATTAGTGACGGCTAAGTCATCACTGTGACACTTCGGGCAACTATTAGAAATGGTTTCTTAGTCGACAGAAGCTCAATACTGGGAAAAATAAAACAGATAAACTGGAGCATGGATTTCTGACCATTCCAACAAATAAAGGGTATATGTGGGAGGAAAATGCAAAAATGTTACAAACCCTCTGGCAGAAGGTTCTTGTTCTCAGTGCTGTTCCTTAAACTCATGATTGTCTCTGTATGTCTGAACATTTGGGGGTGGACTATTAGGAAAACAGAGATAGGATGTTAGAGGAAAAAGGAGCAAGCAACGGTATAAAAACAGAAAAAAAACAAAAACAAAAACAACCCTTATGACCTTAACCAAGGAGAGTAAGGACAAGTAAAAAAAAAAAAAAAAAAGAAAAGCAATAAAACAAAGAGGAGAGTACAGGACACGATGTAAGGAACACCACAAACTGTATTTCCCAAGATCCGGCCAGGAGCTCCTTATGAGACGCACTGGCTTCCGCTCCTCTTCCTCACTCCAGTCCTATCACTAAGTTTTATATTATTTAGGTTCTTGGCAGGAAGAAACACAAACCCACCTAAGAGCATGGGTGCTACCTGGGGAGCTCCTGGGGAGCTGTCAGGCTAACGGCCAAAGCTGGGGACAAGCGGGGCAGCGAGATCCCAGCTGGCAAGCCAAGGCCTGTGGCGACCACCCATGCTCCCTGCATGTTCCCAATCACGTTAAAATCCTTTTGAAGGAACAAGCTGACGGGCCCATGGGGGACTCGTCCTCTCCAGAAACTGGAGGGGGGGGATGGTAAATGGATTTTCAGAGAGGCCCCCAGGATGCACCCCTACCTCCCCAGGGAGGCCGATAATGACTCCTGGGCCTCGGACCTCCCACACTTGCTGATCAGCAGGATCCAGAGCAGAAAGTGGCAGTAGAGCAGGGGGGAAAGCCATGCCCTTGGATGACAGAGAGCAGGTGGCCAAATAAGAAGTAAAGGGGTGTGGCTCCCAGGCTGGGCGGCAGGGGGTGACTGGGACTCAGGGAAGTGGGGCTCTGGGCCCTACGAGGTAGACGGGGGGGCGGGGGGAGCACAGTGGGCAGTCAGCCCCCCGAGCAGCTTTTATGAAGCTGCTTCTTCTAAGTACTTACTTCTTCTTCTAAGTACTTACTGAGTTTAAAAAGAAAAAGAAAGAAAAAGAAAGAAAGAAAGAAAGAAAGAAAGAAAGAAAGAAAGAAAGAAAGAAAGAAAGAAAGAAAGAAAGAAATCAAAATTGAAAATCCAGTCTGGGGATCCCTGGGTGGCTCAGTGGTTGAGCATCTGCCTTTGGCTCAGGGTGTGACCCCGGGGTCCTGGGATCAAATCCTGCACTGGGCTCCCTGCAGGGAGTCTGCTTTTCCCCCTGCCTGTGTCTGTGTCTCTGCCTCTCTCTCTCTCTGTGCCTCTCATGAATAAAATCTTTTTTTTTTTTTAATAAAATCTTTAAAAAAACAAAGAAACAAAGAAAATCCAGACTGTTCTGGGTACGGACAATAATCAGAAATTTCGTCTTGCTGCGACTTGATACACAGACACAGAGCGTGTCCGTGGGATGCGGTCCCTAAGCAAACACCCCAGCTGGCAAGCGTGAGGAGCACCGTACCTCTTTGACGTTCTGCAAGGTTTCAGGCGTGATGGTGAAGTCCACGGGACTCGGGGTCAGCTTCCCCTTCTGAGGCTAAAACGGGAGGCAAAACCAGAATCAGCCGCTGGAAGCCAAGAGTTCCGCAGGCCACGGTCCCCGTTCCCCTTTCAAGGAAACGAAGGGCGGCCTAATGAACCGGGGAGGACTCGGTACTCCGAGGCAGGCAGGGGGTCTACAACCACTCTGCCGAAACACTGTGCTCCGTTCTTTGTCACATTTCTCCACCCCCCCATGACTCAGTTTCCTCATCTGTAAAACGAGGGAACTGCTTTCTCAATCTCTCAGGTCCAGAAATTACAAAATTAGACCTACGAGCCGAGAGTAGTGTCATTAGAAGGTGTTTATTTTAAACCTCTCTCGGAACGAGGGCTGACACCGCGTATCATATCCACCGACGTGCTCCTGAGTCAGCACGGTGACCCTAGGCGGTGCTGTTACTGTCACTGTCCACTTCACAGACGCGGACACTGAGGCACAGCGCGCGCACATGGCTTTCTCAAGTGGCAGAGCCGAGATTCAAGCCCAGGTGGTCTGGCTCCGACGCCAGCGCCGTGACCACTCGGCTGCCACCTGGAAGACTCCCTCCGACCTCTGCACGTTACCGCAGTCACTAACGGCGGTCATCTCCCCGTCACACAACCGCAGGACGCGCCCGGATGGCCCGGCTGCGTCAGGGCCGGCCTGGCCTGCTTCTCCCCGTGCTGCAGGAGGGACACCGGCCACCCTGCCAAGGTTACTCATCTGCCAAAGCAGTACAACGGACTTCCGGTCAGTTCCAGAGCTGGAATTCTAAGGAATATTCTAAGGAATATTAATTACTCTTATTAATACGTTTGTGAACATCCTCTTTTGCGAATATATTCTTCTTCCTCACAGCATTTAAAGGACTATTGGACTTGTCAACCAGAGATCACACGTGGTTTGGCCTCGTGAAATCAGTCCCAAAGAGCAGGCTTCTTGGAGGCCGTGAGCTGGTAAACTGCTGGGAGCAGGGAGGAGGCCCCGAGAACTCAGCCCCCACTGCCTGCCCCGAGCTGGCCTCCGTGGGGGCTCTGCAGCCATGAGCGGGCTGTGGGCCCTGGGTTGGGGGCCAAGGGGGTCCTGGCCTGGAGCCCAGCTCTGGGCAGGGAACTGAATTTGGGCTCATTCTCCTTCACAAAGGTGGAGGCTCTTTTTGCAGAAGACATAAAAGGGTATATGTCTCTTTTAGGGAATAAACCACATTAAAAAAAATTTTTGTTTGTTTCAGTTTGATAGAAAAAAGGAAAACATCTCAATCACATCATTTCCAAAAAAGATAACTATTTGGGGGATCCCTGGGTGGCTCAGTGGTTTAGCGCCTGCCTTTGGTCCAGGGTGTGGTCCTGGGGACCCAGGATCGAGTCCTGCATCGGGCTCCCTGCATGGAGCCTGCTTCTCCCTCTGCCTGTGTCTCTGCCCCTCTCTCTCTCTCTCTCTCTCTCTCTCTCTCTCTCTCTCTCATGAATAAATAAAATCTTAAAAAAATAATAACTATTTTAAATATTTTCTATAACACACTTCTCACTGAAAGAGTCAAACACAGTAACCACTAAAATTAAGAGGGAAACTATAAATGTCAGAAGTCCTAAAAAGTAAGAACGATGCAAATAAAGGACATCAGTGACTACCAATCTTATTATATACAGGAGATTTTACAATATTACACTTTTGCTTAACCATGACTAAAAGACACCTGTGGATATTTCCGAACAGTGTAAAAGAGATGGAATTGCAAATTTTCCACAAACACCAACTGCCTCACCTCGGAGCTCCATCGAAGCCCCACTTACTAAGGCATGTGGCAAAGATCATGGGATACGTGTGGGTTCCCCAGAATGCTGAGTCCCGCTCATGCCAACAAAGCTATAGGCCACGCTGGGTGAATGAGCCAAGGAAGGCTCGTGGCTCTAGTGTCTGTCCAGGTGGGGTGGCCCCTTGACGCGGCCTGCAGCCCCAAGAGTCCGTGCCCTCAGGAGCACGGGTCTCTTCTAGCCTGGCGAGTTCAGAATCGGTGTTTCCGAGGTGGCCCAGAGAGATGTGCTCCCGCACAGCCGGGCTCTGTTCACCTGGGCGCCTCTAGGAACCCCGGTCTGGCTCTCTCCTCTCCCTAAACTGCTCAGAATAAAAGCAAAGGCAGATGGACCACACCTAGGGCAGGCGCCGTCAGTCACTGCTAAGTGTTGCATGATGACCAAGGACTAGCACGGATGGGCTGCAGAGGACTCTGCTTTGAAGTCACCCAGAGTCACCTACAGCCAAAGGGAGGGCGCTCCAGTCCCCTAAGTTGGCACGTGAGAGGAAAGTTTTTTTTTTTTTTTAAAAAGATTTTATTTATTCATGATAGACATAGAGAGAGAGAGAGAGAGAGAGAGAGAGGCAGAGACACAGGCAGAGACACAGGCAGAGGGAGAAGCAGGCTCCATGCCGGGAGCCTGACGCAGGACTCGATCCCGGGACTCCAGGATCACACCCGGGGCCAATGGCAGGTGCCAAACCACTGAGCCACCCAGGGATCCCCTTGAGAGGAAAGTTTTAAGAATGTGTCATCACTGCAAAATATTAGCAGAAGGTGTTGGGAGAGGCAACCTGCTCTGGCCCGGAGTGTCCCCACGCGTCCTTGCTGGGCAGACCAAGAATGTAAGGCCCTGACCGTCCCTTATCTGGGTCAGGCCATTTCTCTGGGTTGTGTTCGCCGCAGCCACCTCGGGGAAGGATGTCTCTCTCCGAAACGGCCTTGCTCACTGCTTGCTCTAACACAGGTGGGCTCCCAGCCTGGTGCTCCTTAGGGGCACCTCAGTGGCATCTGGGCCATGGCATTGCCCTGTGGGATTCTGGGCCCTGGCGAATAGGGCACACGCCACTGTTGGTGCTCTGACCCTGCCAGGAGAAACCAGGTCCCTCATCTCCGACCCAGGAGTCTTTCCCCAGCAGCCAGGACACGGCACCAGGCTGACTTATCAGCCTACAAATGGGATAAAACACCAGACCCTACAGAGGGTCCCCATTATTAAGCCCGGGGCCCCCGAATATAGCTTACAGCAGAGTGAACGATGAATTCGCAGGTCTTTGTCAAGTCCTTGGCCAACAGAGACCGCCTCATGTCACAGCGCAGGGTATACTGGAGGGAGAAGTCGGAGAGGACAAGGTTATGTTCGTGTGACTCACTTTCATCGCGGAATTACATTCAAAGACACAAGTCAACATTCTTAGGGAAACTGGGTCCAATTACCGTGTTATCTGAAATTAACATACCTAACGGGGAGCCAACGCTCAAAACAAAATTCCTCGGCCTATGCCCACAGCCGTCCCAAGGCACAGGGGCTCAGCTGCAAGACAGGGGAAGACCAGGGTGACAGAAGAGAGCGTGCACTCCGAAGCAAGAGCTAGCTCAAATCCAGCTGTCCGCGTTGCTGGGTGAGCGCTGCCAGTCAGACAACTGCTCTGAGCTTCGGCTTCCTGCTCCATGAAATACGGGCATGAGGATCTGCTTGCAGCAAGAGCCCAGCGGGACCGTGGGGGTGGGTGTGTGGGTGTGTGTGCAGGGTACTGGCACATGGTCAGCCACAGGGCAGCTCTCCGTGCAGCGGCCGCTATTTAGTAGTAAGGATTGGGAAGCACACAGAAAGGCCTGGAAGCCCCGGACAGCATCTCGCATGGCACAGAGCACCCGGGGACACAGGGCTGAGCGCACCTGTGCGGCGGTCACCGCACCGGGGGCCGGACTGAGACCCCGCGCAGGACCTGCAGTTACGGAAGAGCAGCGGTGCTCAAGGAGCCAGGACCCCAGGGCAGCTCAACACCGGCTCTCCGTACTTTAACCTTACGGAGGAATAAAGAAAGGAAACCCCTTTTAGAAGTTTATTTTGGAAAATTCCAACATATGCAAAAGTAAAGAGAAGAGAGACGTCCCCCACGTCCACGAGGCAGCTTCCAGATTGGTCGACGCACAGCTCGCCTCACTTGACCATTCTCCCCGGCTGCCCGCGCACGGATCCCATGTGCAAACGGAAGCGGACAGGCGAGGCAGCGGGCGTCACTCTAGCTCTTGGCTGCGTTCAGTTCCTCTGCTGTCCCTCTGCTACTTTTCGGCACCAGCCACTCCCGGTTACCTCCTGCAGGACAGGCCCTGTTCTCCCCCAGGGAGAGCCAGCCCCTCTGCACAGCTGGTGCCCCAGCCACGAGCTCCAACCCGGGACTACTTCTTCCCGTCCGTCTGTGGGCTGACAGCTGATTGGTAACAACATTCTACAGCATTCTACACACGATCGCTGTCTTCAGGCTCATTAAAAAAAAAAAAAAAATTGGGGGCGCCTGGGTGGCTCAGTGGTTTAGCATCTGCCTTTGGCTCAGAGCGGGATCCCGGAGTCCAGGGATCGAGTCTTGTATTGGGTTCCCTGCATGGAGCCTGCTTCTCCCTCTGCCTGTGTCTCTCATAAATAAATAAATTTTGGGCGGCCCCTGTGGCGCAGCGGTTTAGCGCTGCCTGCGGCCTGGGGTGTGATCCTGGAGACCTGGGATCGAGTCCCACGTGGGGTGGGGCTCCCTGCGTGGAGCCTGCTTCTCCCTCTGCCTGTGTCTCTGCCTCTCTTTGTCTCTATGAATAAATAAAATCTTTAAAAAATAAAAATAAAATAATAAATAATTTTTAAAAATCTTTAAAAAATAAAAATAAATAAAAACAAAACCACAGAATCCATATGGAAGAAAGTCAGCTGTTGTCTTAAGGATCATGTTAAAAATGATCTGTATGACTGGGACTATGTGCATGGGTGAATCAAGAAGCTGCATCATTATGAACGCTCTATCCACATTACACAGGAAGTCACTCTACATTTAAGGTAACACTGGGAGATTAAAGCACTTTAAAAAAAAAAAAACCCTTGTCTGCAAGGAAGGACCTTTTCAGGTACATATATGTATGAGATTCTTTTGAGATATCAATCTAGTCTCCCCGACCTGATAAGCTCCAAGAGGCCTGGTGCTGTCAGATTCATATAGGTGTGTGTGCATGCACGTGTGTGCACACGTACATCTATGCACGCGTGTATGTCTGTATGTGTTTTCATCTTTCTCCTGTACAGCCCACACCCTGTCTAGCACGGGCAACATTTTGTTCAGGCTTGCCTGCTGGCTCGGATTCTTTTCCCATCTTTAGTCTCAGGGGTTTGGTGGGCGCAGAAGGGACTGGTAAGCCAGGGCTACTGGGATCGCTGGAAAGAATTCTTTTGGCCGGGGATGCCAACCCAGTAGATGGGAGGCTGCAGCCGCTTGCCAACAACCAGCCTGGCCACGGCCAGGGAAGAGCCTGAGAGGGAGGTGTGTGCAGAAGGCCAAGCCGAGTCACAGCTGGCTTCCCTGGAACGGCCAGCTCGACGATCTATGAGATCTCTTTCTAGGCTAAGTCAGTTCGAGCTGGATTTCTATAACTTGCAAAGGAATCAGAACAACAGGCATCAACTTCTGGTCACGAAATGTTTTTAAGCATGAAAGCAATAATTAGTAACATGGGGCAGCTGCTAAGTGCATGCGGGGAGAAAGGTGGAGAAAAGAGGAACACGGTGATGTTCTGTTCTGGGAATCACGTTGATTCTTTCACATGTACCATCTCAGTGGATTATAAGGACAGTCACCAAATAACTCCCTCATTCAGCCACTCAGCAAATACGTACTTGGAGCATTCTCTCTGCCCGGCCCCGTGCTAACTAAGCACTTCGTGCCAAGGCCTCATTAATCTCCTAGGAGGAGAGGTCGTGGAGGCTGCCCAGGGTCACAGAGGTGGGATTTGAATTTATACCTGCCGGTTGCCAAAACCCATGCTCTGAACCCTTACGCAATGCTGTGACTCAAGCCCAGATCTGTCTGCTGCGAAGCCCTAGATCTTTTTACTTTTCCTGATCTTGCCCAACTGCTAAGGAGTGGTCCAGGTGGTAGGAGCCACTGCGGGTCAGAGGGGGTCAGGCCAGTCAGACCACGAGCAGGGTGCCAGGAGGTCCAAGACTGGATCTTCTTCTTCTTCTTTTTTTTAAGGTTTTATTTATTTATTCATGAGAGACACAGAGAGAGGCAGAGACATAGGCAGAGGGAGAAGCAGGTTCCCTGCGGGTAGCCTGGTGCAGACCTCGATCCTAGGACCCCGGGATCACAACCTGAACCGAAGGAGGATGCTCAACCGCTGAGCCACCGGGTGCCCCCAAGATTGGATCTTCTATGACCGTCAGTTAACATGAGGCCAAAGGAAAGAAGAAAGAAGACATGGGCAAATGACTTGAGGCCGACTCCTGGAAAGGATATTCTTAACTGTGAGAAAGGATGACCAGCAGGTGGATAAATTAATTCTGAATGACAGTTTTGCAGACATGCTGGTACTGCCGTGATGCTGGGCTACAGCATAAAGCCTTGCTAGTACGGCCACGAGAGTAGAACAAACATAATAAAATTTGCTTGTGATTTACATGACTTTCCAAAGAAAAGGCAGTTGCACAAAGGACAACTGGGGAAAGCGGACAGGTTCTCATATGCACGATCTGATCACAAAGGGGAGGAACGAACCCAGCCTGCCTGAGGAGAGGAACAAGGGCAAACGCCACCCAGCAGCCTCTGTCGACCGAGTAAGGAGGAAACCTGGACCCTGCAAGCTGGAAATGTAATACTTGCTACACCTTATACCCTTTGTTCTGTCTTATGGTTCTTACTATTTTTACATTACGTTACCATAACACAATTCAAATTCTAAATGTGAAATGCCTTTGCGCCCACATCATTTGAGAGAGAGGATGTTACTAGGTTCAACAACACTTTCTTTCCAGAGGAATGTACCTATAAATCTTCAGGGTAAGCACGGCAAGCGACGGCCCCATGGGGCCACGCTGAGGCCAACCCTGTGCCCACGAGTGGTCGCCATCGGCCATGGGTGGCACTTGCTCTGCTATAAAACACAGAGGCTAACAAAAGACCCCTCTAGAAACTGAATGAATGATCAATGAATGAAAAACTGATTTTAAAAACCCAACATCCCAGTTTCTCTCAAGAAGTGTATTCTCAAGGGGCGCCTGGGCTAGCTGAGTCGGGGGAGCACACGACTCTTGGTCTCAGGGTTGTGAGTTCGAGTTCCATGCTGGGTGTAGAGATGACTTAAAAATAAAATCTTTAAAAAAAGCAGCAGCATATTTTCTCAAAAGGAGCAATAATAAATTTGGATATGAATTGAGGGGGCGCCTTGATGGCTCAGTTAAGCGTCTGTCTCGAGTCATGATCCCAGAACCTTGGGATTGAGTATTCCATCAGGCTTCCTACTCAGCGAGGAGTCTGCTTCTCCCTCTCCCTTTACTGTTTTTCCTGTTTGTTCTCTTTGTCAGATAAATAAATAAAATCTTTAAAATAAAATGAGTATGAATTGGGAATGAGATGATATTTGAGAACTTTTGTTAATTTTGATGGGTGTGAAGATGCCGGCTGTGATTATGTAGGAGAGCATCCCTATTTTCTGGAGATGGATATTGAAGTAGCTCAAGATGAAGTGTCGTGATTCTGTAACTAACTTTGAAATGACTCAGGAAAGATAAACACAGATGAAATAAAAATGGCAAAATTCTAATAAATGTTGAATCTAGGTGATAAGCTCTTCTACATTGGAGGTTAGGATGAGAAGAAATCTCTACATTTTTAGAAACCTGTGAGATATTTGGGAAGGTAGGGAATTCTAAGTTGTAGCAGTCTGAAGTTAACCCTCACGGGGTAAAATCTGATGAAAAAAGGGGGATCCCTGGGTGGCGCAGCGGTTTAGCGCCTGACTTTAGCCCAGGGCGCGATCCTGGAGATCCGGGATCGAATCCCACGTCCGGCTCCCGGTGCATGGAGCCTGCTTCTCCCTCTGCCTGTGTCTCTGCCTCTCTCTCTCTCTCTGTGTGTGACTATCATAAAAAAAAAAAAAAAGAAAAGAAAAGAAAAAAGGTTGGGTCAGGGTGACCATACACCTTACTGAAGAATTCACCACACACTAATCCTCCAATTGCATTTTTTAAAAGATTTCATTTATTCATGAGAGAGACACACAAAGAGAGGCAGAGACACAGGCAGAGGGAGAAGCAGGTTCCCTGTGGGGAGCCTGATGCAGGACTCGATCCCAGGACCCTGGGATCATGACCTGAACCAAAGGCAGACACTCCACTTTTGAGTCACTCAGGCATCCTCCTCCAATTGCATTTTATTTTATTTTATATATATATTTTAAAGATTTTAGTTATTTATTCATGAGAGACACAGAGAGAGGTGCAGAGATACAGGCAGAGGGACAAGCAGGCTCCATGCAGGGAGCCCGACGTGGGACTTGACCCTGGGTCTCCAGGATCAGGCCCTGGACTGGAGGCAGCGCTAAACTGCTGAGCCACCTGGGCTGCCCCTCCGATTGTATTTTAAAGAGTTTCCAACTTACACACAGCCATGCAGGACACAAATACTCAAGATTTTTATATGCAGTTGACTTTTGAACAACGCGGGGTTGAGGGGTACCAATCCCCGCACAGTCAAAACTCCATGGATAACTTGTGACTTCCCAAAAACATAACTACTGAGAGCCTACTGTTGACCAGAAGCCTCACTAATAACATCAACAGCTGGTTAACAGTTATTTTGTAAGTTATACGTACCATATACTGTATTCTTACAATAAACTAAGCTAGAGAAAGAAAACCATAAAGAAGAGAAAATACATTTGCACTCTACTGTATTTACTGAAAAAAAAAAAATCCATGTAAAGGGGACCCACAAGGTTCAAACCCATGTTGTTCAAAGGTCAACTATATATATCTGCATGCCCTTCTTGGCAATATTTGGAAAAGGATGAGATTTCCAATTTGATTTTTTTATAAGACTTTATTTTTTATGGTAATTTCTACACCCATCGTGAGGCTTGAACCCACAACCCCGAGAGATCAAGAGTCACATGCTCCGCCGACTGAGTCACCAGGCACCGCTCCGATTTGATTTTAAACAAACTAATCTAACAAGAACAATGAACACAGGCGGAAGTGACAAGAAGCATGACCAGTGAAACCTGAATGTTATTCTCTTTGGTTTCTCATGAACGAGCGCTTATGTTATTAAATCAACAGTGTTAAAGAGCTACTGTGTCGAGCAAGCAAGGCAACGCTGATTCTGGAAAGAGAATAACTGTGATGTTCAAATGACACGTTTGGGATTTTGTCAGTCTTGCTAAGAAGGCATTGTGCATGGACTGCCTTTGGCGGTGAAAGGACTCCCGACCTAGGAAGCTGGTCAGAGCGCTTGCACTGCTGTGCACGGGCAATTCGCAGGTCTACACAGCCAACTTCCTGTGAATCCGGACACTTCCCTGTCATTACGGTCACTTCCCATGGGCTGGCCAGAGCCTTTAGTGTACAGACTGCACACTGAAACAGGTGCACCAATAATGAAGGACGAGACGCAGTTTTTCTGGACGGAAAGGTAGTGACTGCAGGGCAGGATGTCACTTGGCACCTGCTTCTCAACTCATCTTTCGAGCACTTCATCGAACTCGCACACAGACAAACCTTGAGGTGACACTCTCACGAGGGTTTTGAGGATCTGTATTTTTAAAGTGGTATGTTTTAGGCAGGGGAATGGTCTCTGACTGAGACCAAATTATCAGCTACAACTTAATAAATCAAGAAACTTCCTAACTTTCCGCCCTGTTGCACGTATGCAAGACAAAATGGTTTTGTCTCATGGAGCAAGGGGAACCCTGCAAGGCTGATATCACAAAAGTACCTTTCTTTCCGCTGAATAAAGGAAAGGCTCTCTCTCACCCGCTCGCCCTGAGTCATGACTCCGAACTGTGCCGGAGACAATAGTGGCTGTGAAAGGCGTCCTGGGCCAGCGGAGGTAGACAGGAAGTCATAAATTCACTTCCCCTCATTTACAAGGTTTGTTCAATAAAGAATACAAGCCTATGTTAGAGTAGTAGCCTTTGGATATCTAACAAAGAGATATTTATGCGTATAGAACAGACAATTAGTGCGGGTGCCAGAGAGGAGGGCATATCTGTCACCAAACACTACCAGCACCCCTCACGGTGTCAATGTGGCCTGAATAGGGCCCAACAGAAACAACAGAATTTTTTAAAAAGAAGCTAGAGCAGGGGTCTCAACGGGATTCCTATCAAAAATCATGGCCACACATAAAATGTGTTCTGCACAGCAAAATGAGAAATCAAAATAGAATATAGATGGGTGGTCTTGGCATGATTACAGTATTAAACTCTTGGGTCCATCTGGTAACTTTCAGTGAAAGAAAGACGGAGCCATTTTGCAGAAGAAAAGCCAGGAAGCCACCTGCACGGGATTAGGAAACTCTCACCTGAATGTTGACGAACACGCCGTGGTAAGTCTCATACAGAACTTTGTTGCCCTTCACGTGCAGAGGAAATTCAAAAGGAATTTCTGTCTTGCCACTGGGAAACTTGCCTGGCTTCACCATTTCGATGGTACTGTTGATAATCTGGATAGGCTGTAAAGGAAAAGCAACCCAATCTCTCAACGCGCACTTTTGGATGCACTTTCAAATTACCGTGTCTGTTAATGATCTCTTGAAAGCCCCAGCCCCTGAGCCCTCGGGGGCTACCCTCCCTGTGTCCTGGCCAGCACCATGCTGTGTCTGCCGGGGAGTGGCCAGGTGGCTCAAGTCTCTGGCACAATTATGGTTCATCCACAGTTCTGGATGCTTCCATGTCTGGGGCACATCTGAAGCCATATTTCCTCTCCTATCCCCCAAAAGCTCAGTTAACTGTCCTAACAACCATCCTGACAGGCATTCCTACCTTCAGTCAAGGTAGGAGGGCCCGGTGGGCTACCACCTGAACCCATGGTTCCTCACCACCCTGTGCCCATCTTGGACGCCAGCCTCCTGGGAGCCTTCCCACCACCCACCGCGCGGGGAGGAACAGGCCCGTCCTCAGCCCTGTGCACCTCAGCGTTACATTGGGACTTGCCCAAAGGCAGCCATCACACCTTCCTTAGTTCACATATTCTAAGCTTTGGTTTTGTATCACTCGGAAAATCTACAGCTTTTGAAGTGAGTCTCTAAGTGCTTCCGGAGGAAAATGGGGAGATTGTGGAAGATGACAGGGAGGCCCTGGATCTGAATGTGGCCAACTAGAAACCATCCTTCCTCTCACCTCCTGCCCCCTCAAAACTCAGCCTTATTATGTCCTTCAGGAAAATGAAACTATAGTATAGAAAAGGAGTTTATATTCTGGAACATACACCTCTACCCAAAATGACAAAAAGGGAAGAATGGCCACTGTTCTATCTGCATTTTACCCGAATATCAAATCCAAGAGCTGCCATGTACACAGTCAAAATAACAGTTTTGTTTGAGGAAGGTAAGTGCCAGAAGCCACAGGCACTTCTCAGAAGAGCTCTGGTCTCTTTAAAAGCTGAATTTAGTGCACTTCTACTTCTCCTAATCCTACCTTATTGGAATAAAAACAGGCAGACTTCTAAGAGCAGGATATATTCAGAATCAAAACATGTGAATGCTTTTTCAGTTTGATTAGTCAGTATTAAAAGTAGGACCACTGCTATACCTTGCAAAATACCGACAGGTTAACAACAGTAAAGCCAGAGAGCAAATTAAAAACCACCACATGGGACACCTGGGTGGCTCAGTCGGTTAAGTCTCAGTCTGCCTGCCTTTGGCTCGGGTCACAATCTCAGGGGTCTGGGGTCCAGTCTCGCATCCCATTGGGCTTCCTGCTCAGCAAGGGGTCTGCTTCTCCCTCTCCCTTTGCCCATCCCCACTGCCGTGTGCACATGCTCTCTCTCTCTCAAATAAATAAATAAATCTTAAAAAAAAAAAACCACCACAAACATTGGGATAATGAACTAAAAATGTGCAACCTAAGCGTTCTTACCTTAACGGAATTATAGAAAGCCTCAAACACACCCACACTCTTGGCACTGAGCTGGAGGTTCACGCTTCCTTCCACTGTCAAAGACACTCCCTGGTGCTGGATTGAATCTTTACCAGATATGACCACCACGCCTGAGAGCACTTCCTAGGAGAACAGAGAGAGCCACCAGTCACATTAACATGTCTTTGCATCCACCTTGTTTATTAGCAGAGGTAGATCTCCTTAGCAATCAATTTGTTCTAAGATATTCAGTGAGCACTTATTGCAGACTAGAGACCTGGATGCTGGGATGAAGAAGGCAAAGCCTTGGGTAGGGGCTGGAGAGCCAGGAAGGATGACGGGGCAGGGCCGATGCACAGTGCTTGGGAGCACTGCTGGGAGCACTGAACTGGGCAACAGATCTCAGGCCATCACAGCCTTCCAGATGCTTCTGCACTCCCCGCTGGGAGAATCCCAGCAAATGTCTGACGCCAAAGGGCAAAGAGAAGGGTCAGAGGCAAGGGGCAGGTTCATGGCCACGTTACCCACAACCATGTATAAACAACCTCTTCAGGAAAAAGACAGTAAGATAAAACCCTTTTCTTTGGGTTCTTTCTCAGTTATGCTAAAATGACTACACATTTTCAAATGCACAATTTAACACAACCACTGGCCTGGTGCTCTTTCTGCCCAGGCAGCCTCACGGAGGAGGGGTCTCGAGCTCATCCACAGAACACAGGGGGCACCTCACTGCTTTTGCGAAGTCTTCCCCAATCTCTCCCCTGCCTGGGTCACTCGGTAGACATTCGAGCCTAGATTTCCCTGGATCATAAATCATTTAAGAAAGATTTCACAACAGATCATCTATTCATCTATCTGAAGATAATTGCAGAGTAACAAAATATGGACATTATACTCTCTCCTGGATGGCAGTTCCTTCCCGTCACCAAAGAACCCGACGGTCTCAATTTGCTAAGGGGGTTTTGTGTGGAAAAGGAAGTTCAGGAGATTACACAGCATCCACTGGAGCGGAAAGAGAATCCACAATAAATTCAAACAACATGTTGGTGAAACGACCATCAGAAATGGAGCACGACCACTGTCAAATGGTAATATGATTGCAGAAAATGTAGCACGACTGCTGTCAAATGCTAATATGATGGTAATACAATGGCAAAAAATTACAAAGAGAGGAAAACCAGCAAAATTAAAATGAGCCTGCAGATCAAAACATTAAAAACCATCTGTCCTACTGGTGTTTAAATCTTATTTCCTCTGGTCATCCGGTGAAAAAACTTTTACCAAGTTCTCAGAGCATGAGAAATTTGGGGAGCAGGGAATATTTGATGTCCCTTAAATGTGCTAATATTTTGTGTTTGTGTCCTCCTTTCCCATAAAAAGTGCATAAGCAAATTTAAACGAAAATTCCTCTGAAATAATTTAAATTCAATTAAAATTAATTCTATTACTTCTTGTACAACTGAAATTAAGTAGAAGTCTAATTTTTAAAAGTTTAAATCCACAAGTACATTTTTAAAAATTTACTTGACAACTGAGTCTCAGAAAGTGAGCCAAAATAATTGCATGACCTTTATCACTTAATATAATACAGGAGCACTTGGGACATTCTGCTCCTATCTAATCACATTTTCTGTTAATCTCATGGGAACAGGATCTGGACTGACCACTGATTGGCATATTATAGTCGTGACATCAATAGAACCTTTCCTTCCCAGATCCCTATAGCTCAAGAAGGAAAAGGAAGTAAAGTTCTTGGAAGGAAGCAGAGTAAATATTTGATGACCCAAGGGACTCTTTTGTCACTTTGATTTAATTAAGAAAGAATATAGTAGAGGGGCGCCTGGGTGGCTCTGGTCATGATCTCAGGGTCCTGGGATCCAGCCCCACACTGGGCTCCCTGCCCAGCAGGGAGCCAGCTTCTCCCTATCCCTCTGCCTGCCCCTTCCCCTGCCTGTGCTCTCTGTCTGTCCAATAAATAAATAAAATCTTACAAAAAAAGAAGAAAGAAAGAAAGAAAGAAAGAAAGAAAGAAAGAAAGAAAGAAAGAAAAAAGAGAAAGAAAGAATGAAAGAAAGAAGAAAGAAAGAAAGAAAGAAAGAGAAAAGAGAAAGAAAGAATGAAAGAAAGAAGAAAGAAAGAAAGAAAGAAAGAAAGAAAGAAAGAAAGAAAGAAAGAGAAAAAGAAAGAAAGAGAGAAAGAAAGGAAGGAAGGAAGGAAGGAAGAAAGAAAGAAATGCTTGGGTGGCTCAGTGTTGAGCATCTCTGCCTTTGGCTCAGGTCGTGATGCCAAGGTCCTGGGATCAAGTCCCACATCGGGCTCCCCACAGGGAGCCTGCTTCTCCTTCTGCCTGTGTCTCTGCCTCTCTCTCTCTCTCTGTGTCTCTCATGAATAAATAAAATCTAAAAAAAAAAATAAAAAAGGAAAAAAGAAAGAATATAGTAGAGAGAAATACAAAATTAATAAAATATTTGTAGGTAAGTTTGGCAGGTCTATTCAATCAACACCAACGAAAGAGGGATAGAGAATTTGTCCAAGTGTTGCCCAAGGAGCCAAGAAACAGAATTTTACGTTTTATTATGACTTGTTTATTCTTAAGAAACAGAACTTTAGAAACAGAAGACAGTTCAACAAATGGGTAAGGCCCATGGTAATGAGGAACCGATCCTTTGTTGCTTTTTCATTGGAAGATCTTTTTTTTTTTTTCATTCCAAGACAACTGACATGTAAGACCTCACTAGTTTTAGTCACTCCGGAAGATGCTTGAGTAATTCTGGTCCAGGAGCACAGATGAACCTGAATAACTAAAACCAAGGGAAAACTCAAGGCCTCACCAACTTTTGTCCGGAATTCTCAGCAGGGAGGAGGTAAGATGTGGCTCTGGATGGTGCTGGGAGGCCAGCCAACCTCATAAGCAGAGGTCACTCAGGGACTCAAGGAGGGGAGCAAACCCCAGAAATGATGCACAGAAGCCACGGGCTCCGGCGGTGATCTTCGGGGGAAGGGCGGTGGCCGGCGCAGCATCACAGGGGCCCCGGGCTGCGCAAGGCCAAGCAGTGCAGCCGAGAGCCACGCGGGCCCCACACCTGCCCGCTGGAGACTCGGGGGCGGGGGTACCCGCTGCGGCGCCACCATCCCTGGCGGGGACTCCGGGCCGGGCCACCGGAGCTGACACCCCCCGCCGCCGGCAGCCGCGCAGCCAAGCTCGGGTTGGAAGAAGCACCGAGAAGGTACCGGCCGCACGGGGTCTCAGGCGGAAGCCTCACCCGGTCCGCTCCGAGGCCTCGGTCTTCTCGAAGTGTAAAAGCCACTGCGCCCACCACCACCTTTGCCTCTTTTGATCCCCAGAATTAAATACTGAACTCGCAATTTGGACTCCGGGGGGTCCGGTGAGCATCCCCGCTCCCGCCTCCTGGAAATCACCCACAAGAACAAGAGAAATAAGGCACAGACCCCGCTGGTGGTGCAGCGAGCACACAGGCGGGAGCCAGGAAGGCGCGACGGAGCCGCTAAGAGCAAGAGCTGGGGGTCACACCATGCAAAGGGGCAGGAGCCAGACCCTGGGGCGGGGGGGGGGGCAGTGATTCCAGCAGGGGCACCCGTCGGAGCCTGGCCCCGGGGTTGGGAGACAGTGCTTCCAGTGGGGGGCACCCATGGGAGCCAAGCCCCGGGGTCAGGGGACAGTGCTTCCAGCGGGGGGCACCCATGGGAGCCAAGCCCTGGGGTTGGGGGACAGTGATTCCAGCAGGGGGCACCCTGGGAGCCAGGTCCTGGGGCCGTGAAAACCTCCCCCCGCTGCTGCCCAGGTGGAAGAAGAGGAAAGGATAAAGGAGCTCACACATCCACCCTCGGCCAGCCTGGCCTAGCGACACTCACCTCCTGCAAAGAGACAGAATCGATGTAAACATGAAGGAAAGAGGGACAAGAGGGAAATCCAAGTGGCAGGTGATGAATACTAGACGGATCACGCCACTCTTCTACTTAAAGGAACTTTGTGGCAGCTCCCCATCTCACTCGGGGTAAAGGCCAAAGTCATTTTGATGGCCTATAGGGGGGGTCTCTCTTACCCCCTCCAGTCACCCCCCCTTCACTCTTCCCTCCCTGCCTCCTTGCTAGTCTTAGATGCCTGCAAATTCTAGCCTCAGGGCATTTGCACAAGTTCTTTGCACCACCCAGATGCTCCTCATATGGCTTGTGACTAAAATCCTCTCCTTTTTTTTTTTTATAAATTAATTTTTATTGGTGTTCAATTTACCAACATACAGAATAACACCCAGTGCTCATCCCGTCAAGTGTCCCCCTCAGTGCCCGTCACCCATTCACCCCCACCCCCCGCCCTCCTCCCCCTCCACCACCCCTAGTTCATTTCCCAGAGTTAGAAGTCTTTATGTTCTGTCTCCCTTTCTGATATTTCTCACACATTTCTTCTCCCTTCCCTTATATTCCCTTTCACTATTATTCATATTCCCCAAATGAATGAGAACATACATTGTTTGTCCTTCTCCGGTTACTGTGGCCAAGTTCAAAAAGGGTGTTGCCTGAGTTCTCCTCTGGGATTTTGATGGAATCTTGTCTCACATTTAGATCTTTCATCCATTTTGAGTTTATCTTAGTGTCTGGTGCAAGAGAGTGGTCTAGTTTCATTCTTCTGCATGTGGATGTCCAATTTTCCCAGCACCATTTATTGAAGAGACTGTCTTTCTTCCAGTGGATCGTCTTTCCTCCTTTATCGAATATTAGTTGACCATAACGTTCAGGGTCCACTTCTGGGTTCTCTGTTCTGTTCCATTGATCTATGTGTCTGTTTTTGTGCCAGTACCACACTGTCTTGATGACCACAGCTTTGTAGTACAACCTGAAATCTGGCATTGTGATGCCCCCAGATATGGTTTTCCTTTTTAAAATTCCCCTGGCTATTCGGGGTCTTTTCTGATTCCACACAAATCTTAAAATAATTTGTTCTAAGTCTCTGAAGAAAGTCCATGGTATTTTGATAGGGATTGCAATGAACGTGTAAATTGCCCTGGGTAACATTGACATTTTCACAATATTAATTCTGCCAATCCATGAGCATGGAATATTTTTCCATCTCTTTGTGTCTTCCTCAATTTCTTTCAGAAGTGTTCTATAGTTTTTAGGGTATATTT